GTCAACAAATGGAAAAGTCAGCCATCTATTAATTATCATGTTAATTACTGTACCTTTTAGCCCCAACAGCAGGGGGCTAAAATACCATATTTTACATATTCTTTCGTAATTTAAAAACTGTTGCTTTAATTATCTAAAACAAAACTGAAAATCATAAAGAAGACCTTTGTCTCAAAATATATACATTAATTTTAGTGATTCTCATTTGCTACTTAAATCTACAACATTTTAAAAAACATAAAATATTAGATCAAGTAAGCACAGAATCAACTTCAGACATCAGACAAATATGCACGTGCATCTTGAAAAGCGAATGTTTTGGAAAGTGCTAAGCCACGTTTTTGTGCCATCTAGTGGTTTACAGGAAAATAATATCAAAGGTGCCATCTAGTGGTTTAGATGAAAATAATATCAAAAAACCCCGGGGCGCCTTTAGCCCCATTGTACCCTATATATATATATATATATAAGCTTTAAATAGGATTTTTATACCATTTTATCAAAATTCTTGATGCACTGAAATTTCATAATTTTTGCTACCAATTTCAATATCAATAAAAAATAATACTAGCCTAAGTAAAAATAAGCTTACTGAAGACAAGTAAACAGTCACAAATTAGGCTACAGCAGAACAAAGATCATAAAAAATGGCCTACTTAAGTAAAGCACCGAATAATAAATATATTGTATAAAGAAAATGTGCAAATAGACTGAATAGTCTTCACTGTATAAATTCAATATACATTCATTCTTATTTATTTTACAAAAGTGATTCAGTCAAGGACAGTAAGTTATTTTCTTTCTGATGTTTGATTTACATTATTGACACAAATGGTAACAGCAGCTATATTAGGCTGCATTATAGTTCACCCAAAAATGAAAATTCTGTTGATGTTCTAAACCTGTATGAGATTCCTTCATGCTGTTGAACACAAAAGAATATATATATATATGGTAAACCAAATTCAGACTTTACGTTTCAATATCAAATGGTAATGCATGGAATTTACGGAAAAGCTCAACTAAATAACAGCGCTAATAAGTGGGGGGCATGGTGGCTTTGGCGATCGGCGCTCCAGTCAATCTACTCCACAGCCAATCGCGGGCCCCCTCCTTGCTCGGGCCCCGGGGCTTCAGCCCCGCCTAGCCCAATGGTTAAAACGGCCCTGCTTGTAACCACAACTAAACTTGAACAGGATGTAAGGAAATGAACTCAGCAGGGACGGTTTCTTCATTAGGGTCGCATAAGTGCGAAAGGGAAGGATTTTTTTTCTATCACATTCAACCTTAGCTGTCACTGTTCTAGACTGTCCTGCCTTTGGATATATAGTCCAATCAGCGTCAAGTTATGTTCTGTGGAGTACTGCCCCTTTTTTGGGCGATTTCACTCTGGCCAAGAATCGCCCAGACTGTTCTCATAGACTTCCATACAAAGACTTTTTTTTTTTTTTTTTTCTCGAACTGCAGGAACTGCAATGCAATCTCTGTGTGTTTTCCAGGAGGGCGAGCACTAACGTGCTTTCGTCATCATATGCAAACTTAACTTGTGCAATGATTGGTGGGTACAAACATACCTTTATTAATTATCTTTAAGCTGAAGTCAGGACTGTCTGTATGGCCTGAATAAAGCAAACAGTATCTTAACAGTAAGGTTTTAATGGATGACGATTGTAATGGAGGTAAAGACGATTACAGTGACATACAGGGGTCGTACATTATTAGATGCGCGAGTCCGTTATTATTACAATGCAAATAAACAAACCATATATGTGCACTCTGATAGCTTTTTGCATGAGCACATTCAGTATGGTCGCATGTCTGGCAAGTGTTTTATAATGGACACTGAAGAAGTGTTTATATACAGGTGCATCTCAATAAATTAGAATGTCGTGGAAAAGTTCATTTATTTCAGTAATTCAACTCAAATTGTGAAACATATGGGCATCAACACTCACTCTGACAGAGGAACTGTTCACTGGTGATATTGAGCCGCCTTCAGATCGCCACATTTGACAAATTCAGAATTTTTTCATTTGCTTTTTTAATTTGTGTTTTGCTCCATTTAATAATTCTGAATGGATCCGTATATATCTATATACAGTCTGGTTACTGGTATAGTAGTCTGTTGGCATCTCCGTGTGGTCCTGTTTGATATTGCAGCTTGACTTATAGTTATTTATATATGTACAGAAAATGCTCTAAACAAACGTAACATTTATTATTTTCCTCACAGTTTTTGCTGTGAAAAATGTTTAAGTCTTAATACTTTTCCTTTTGTTATAGTGGGACAAATCATACCGGGATGCATGCTAAAATTGTTGGATGTGGCGCCCTACCTAGAACATTTTCCACAAGCCGCCACCGGAACTCAGGAAGGGTTTAGATTATTATTAACTTGGGCTGGGGTCCACAACCACAAAAGACCTCAAAAGGGGGGTTAGTACAGACAGGACGTGCATGACTGATCAACACAAAGCAGGAAACAGAGAAAAAGAGAGAATACCTGTGTCTCTGTGCACTGCTGAGCGAAACGCCATCATGTTCTGCCAGGCCGACCTGAGAGCTGTATCGCCTCAAATCTTCTGGCTTCTTAGCTGTTTGTGTACAGAAGAAAGTTGTGAAATGAAGGTATGTAAAGTATGTGCCTTGCACAGTACAGTAATATGCGAATCAAAGCATTTTTATGTCCCCTACATGAACCGGATGGTCATCAGTGAGTGAATTTAAATGACACCCACCCACATTCATCTAAAGTGTTGAAATGGTAATGGTATTATGAGATGCGATGACTCACACTGCATTCATAAATGCTGTTACGGTCTTATGTCTCAGTCTAACTATTAAAAAAATAAATATATATATATATATATTTCTTTTTTGTTTGTTTTTTTGTTTTTTTGAAATCGTATTAAAGAGCAATTCAAAAACCTATTTAAGGTTCTTAAAATTTGCTTTAAATAAAAACAACTATAAAATGTATTCAGGGTTGACTGTTAAAAATTGACTGTGAAAAAAGTGTTTGTGAAGTAATATAATTTCCTGAGATAGCTTAAACCAGCAGAATTTAACAAAATATGTTTTAGAGCTCATTTTGACTTGAATAAAATATGACTGAAACAGTGCCAGGTAGATTCCTAACAAACTGTAGTATGTTACTGATTATAAATTACATAAGAGAAATTGTAGTTAGTAATAGGGCTGGGTAAAAAATATCAATATCTCAATATTAATTGATTCTAATTTTTACGGAACAATATCGATTCTTAAATCCCAAGAATCGATTATTCTAGCCTGTTTTCAGTTAATGGACAGAACGTTAAAGGGCACTTCCCATCCAATATATCATAATAAGCATTGTGCGTTGGTACTTTTAACATGAAACAAAGTCTCAGATTTCTCAGATTCTGTCCATTGTATTGCAGTATTCAAACAATAAATGCCGTTTTGGCGCTGTTTAATGTGGAGTGACAGATCTCTGTAGCGCCTCAGTTGAACAGACGTGGCAGTGCGATATGCACCTGAACTGATCGTCTCCTCCACATTAATACCAGTTTCAGCTTTCAGCACAAAATAATCATGACTAAACATCCGAAGGTAAGTTAAAAGAAATAGTACAACTTTACAATCCGTATCCTGTCTCATGTAATCGCTCAATCAGTGTTTCAGCCGCGCAAAGACGTCAATATAACGGCTTGTAAACAATGTCACGTAATGTCACATTTACCTCAGAAAAACATATTCGGTGACCATAAACTCATTAGTCAGATAGAAAAATAAACTGTAGAGAGGGGCATTTTGCTAAATATATGCACCATATAACATATTCATTAGAAATTTTACTGTTCTTCAATGTTTAATTTATGTTTGAATAAATTCTTCAAGTTTTTATGACAGCCACCAATATCTATATTTCAAAAAAACGAATTGTAGAAATATTATTATGTAATTGTAACTTTATTATTTTAAAACTTCATTAAGAGTAATTTTAATCAGTCAATTTTAACCTTCAATATTATAGTAATGTAGTACCAACTGACTCTCATGTATATTTTAGATGAGAGATTTTTTTTCCTTTAGAAAATTTGGCATGTACTGTACCTGATATATACCCAAAATAATCGATATTGAATCGAATCAGTAATCGAATGGAATCGCGAGCTTGTGAATGAGAATCGAATCGAATCGTGAAATTTGTGTCAAAACCCAGCCCTAGTTAGTACTAGACATTTAAATAATTCCAAATACAACAAACTCAAACAGAAACATGTGCCTTGTTGCTAGTAGATGCATGAAAATGAAAACAATATGCATTCTATAATCAGCTCAAAATATCAAAATAGCTACAGAGAAAAACGGGGCATCATAAACTAAATGAATGAGGATCACACACTAATAGACTGTCATGCTGTTCCAAACACTATAAACTCAGAAACATGCATGCGGGACAGCCACCAATATCTATATTTCAAAAAAACGAATTGTAGAAATATTATTATGTAATTGTAACTTTATTATTTTAAAACTTCATTAAGTGTAATTTTAACAAATCAGTCAATTCAACCTTCAATATTATAGTAATGTAGTACCAACTGACTCTCATGTATATTTTAGATGAGAGATTTTTTTTCCTTTAGAAAATTTGGCATGTACTGTACCTGATATATATCCAAAATAATCGATATTGAATCGAATCAGTAATCGAATGGAATCGCGAGCTTGTGAATGAGAATCGAATCGAATCGTGAAATTTGTGTCAAAACCCAGCCCTAGTTAGTAACATAATCTGTTGGATTACACACATTAGGTAATGTATTCTCACTACGTTTTGATTACTTTTAGATTACTTTTGACCTAACTTGTAAGAAAATATTTTCTATTCTTTGTTATAAACATTAAATAGTGCATTAAACATGAAATTACGCCAAGGTTTCCCAAACTGTGGTTCGTGAGGTGATGAAAACCTAATAATTACTTGTATCATAAAATGTCAAATTAAACTAATTGTGTGGCCTTTCCATTTTCTGTGTAATTATAGTCACCTGACTAGTGGCTGGTGTGTGCAATTCAACAAAATTGGAAGACTTTCCAAATGTATATGAGTGGTATGATTTTTTTTAATTTATTTATTTTTTTTTAGAAAGGATGTAATCACTGGACCTAGAAATTAAGAGTTCAAAAATAAAAACACAGAGACTGATGAGGTCATTAGTACAACCTTGTCTGTAGTCGGGGTCTGATGATGTCACTGAGGGGCTTTCGCTGGAGGAGCTGTAGTCGCTGTGGTATCTTCTGTGAGTATGCAGCGGATCTGAAAATGAAGATTCACACGAAACAAAACAACATTCATAAAATTCAAATTCTTGTAAATTCCACTTTGTAAGAATTCAGCACAGCACATTCAAATACTTGAGTTAATGTGTTAATCTTATTTTTTGAGAATATCAGAGACAGCATTGCTCTCACCTTGTATTGTATTATTAAAAAGAGCACTTCTTGTTTTCTAAAACATTCGTGTCACACTTATGTCCATGGAACAAAACTGCTTCTATGTCCCCAAGACCCAATGAATGAGAAAACTGATCCTCATATTCTCAGACATGGTCTGTTATTATCATAGTAAACACGGACACTGGAAACTGTGTTACAGATTATTTCCATCATTATGAGCACCGATGGGAGTTCAGAAATGTGCTGAGGGAGTCACTAAAGAGCTTCCAAATAATCTTACAGTATTTAATCATGTACGCTTTTGGTATGAACATGCATACAAATCATGTTCTTTAAAGCGTCATGTTTTATGATCTTGAATGAAGGTATGTGCACAGCAGTGACGCTGAAGGCCTTCAGGGGAAATAAAATAACATCAGCAAATCACACCTGAGTTTATCCAAATAACCTGGATGGCTGTTTTGGTTTAGAAGTGAGATTGGCCAACTGAGTGGCAAATACTGAAAGCTGTACAGTACACAGAATGATCGAATCCAGTAAAGTACAGTGAGTCTTCACTGTAGATCTTCAAAAACACTGAAGAATTGTATGAACAAACATACGGTAGTCAATTATCTGTCGGAGTGCTCAGTTTTCAAACAAGAAACCTTTACAATTGAAGACCCAAGACCTCAAACCTGATAAAACCACTTCAGGCTGATTCAATAAATGTTAACTAAGCTGTGGATTAACAAGTGACAGAACTGAGGAACCTGTTTAATACTGATAAAAATAAGATAAAAATCACCAACATACAAATAATTTTCATATAGCTTATAATTTAATTATATATTTTTATTCTAAAATTGAATTTTATTTGAATTAAATTT